AATCTTTGAACAAATCGATCTTTCTTTCTTGCATTTTCTTGAAGAATATAGGTTGGAAATTACGTCCACAGAACCGGAATTCTGATATGTCTGAATTCTTGAAAGCAAGGAAGTTATGCCTGGTCGATCATCCGTGATACGAATGCGGCACATCAAATGATCTAAGACAAATACTTAACAAATATTTGTATTATTCGCAACCGAGTAAAAATCTTAAGAATGAAAATACATTTTCATGTAACTACTGTTCGTTGCAATCGAGGTAGAGAATTTTTATTTCGCATAAAGATCCGCAATCTAACTTTCGCAAGGAAACTTTCGATGTGTTTTTCTCGAAACTATGTTTTTGAAAACGGTGACCATGATATCTCGAGATCTACTTAATTCGAATGCCATCAAAATTTAGGCGCGCGTTCACTAAACGTCATACCTTGTAAATACGACTGCAAAAGATGTTATAGCTTCTTCGCGGAAAGAACACTCCAAGAACGCAATTTGTGCCAAAATACTCGTTTAAATTTTGACGAGGAACTCTTATTCTTTCGAACGGGAAAAGTAGTTCGAAACACAAGGATTATAGTCCAGCTTTGAATAATTCATGAGACGAATCGAGTGAATTTCGGAGGACAGATCGACCGGTTCCCGGCGGAAAGGGTTGATCCTTCGATGGGATGACGATGAAAATACGATCGCATACGTTCCGTTGAACAGGATAAGGATCCCCTCGAAGCTAATCCGACGATACCGCTGGTCTAATTCGTTCGCCGACTCCCCGAGTTCGTTCCTCACCCGATTTCTCCCGTTACGCGCATTTATGCGAGGCCACTGGGTAATTGGATACAGGAGTGCTGCAAAGCGTAGGCGTGTCGGCGAACCCTATCTTCCTATCTGCGAAATTGCTCCGGCATACGACAAATATCGCCGTTCGACGGTTTTTTCCCCTCCCCGCCGCTAATTGCGGTACGGTGTAATTAAAAGGCTGCTTTGATACACGCCCGAAGGTGGGCGCACAGTGGTCTCTAATTAAACGGCAAGCGGCACCCCGTTTTTTCCTCCGACGTTTCGCGTAAACATGCGCGCGGATCCGCTTATCTTCCGTTACCCGGAGCGATCGGTTTAATAATGGTTCCGGCCGTTTTAATTGTACGGCTTAATAATGTTGGCGCGAGACACTCGGCGATGGCAAATGAGCGTAATGTTTCACAGATTACGCCGGGCCCTCTGTCATCTTCGCCAATAATCCCGGAAACTGGTTCCGCAGCGATTAAGGAATAGTTTATCGCGCGTCGTTCAAACACCAACCGAGAGCTGCTTCGCCGGGGATTAACGCGAGCTTTCCGGAAGCCTGAAACTTTCAACTGGGATATTAAGCGACGGACGCGGGAATCTTGTCGATTTTGTCACGCGACGCGGCGATGGAATTGTAAGCGGAATCGGGCGAAGCCGGAACGTATTCGCCGGAATTCGTTAACTCTCGCGTGACGACGGCCGGGTCTGCGGTGACCTTTATGCATTACATGTAAGGCCAGAGCCACGGATGCGTCAAATCGACGGAGATTGGTTGTCTCTCTAATTGTTTCACTAATAGAAAACGAGGAAGATTTGTCCTCGTTTTCAACTAGAAGAACAGGGAAAAATGACGAACGTCCGTTTTTTATCGCATGCGTGATTCTGGTCTAAGGAAACATAATAAATTATTTATTTATTTATTTATTCTAAATCACTTATTGCGAATGGAATAAATGAATAAGTTTTGATTTTCCACTGTCATTCATTACGGCGAAAAAAGGCAGTAATAAATATTAGCAGAAGATGAATATACAAATGAAAAAATAAATAAATAAATAGAAGCGAAATAAGGCTCTTATACAGGGTGTTTCGTTTAAAAATTAGCAGAACGTGAATATATAAATGAAAAAATAAATAAATAAATAGAAGCGAAATAAGGCTCTTATATAGGGTGTTTCGTTTAACCGAATTGCAGTGAAATATCTCGGGGTGGATTGAAACTACGAAAAAAATATTTATGGAAAAGCTGTTCGGTATGAAAGCATGTTTTTCACTGATTTTTTGAAATTAAGGAAAGTTCCACGGAACACCCTGTATGTACGCGTTTCAGCGAAACGTTGAACGCTCGAACATGAAAGACTCTGGTACGGGTCACGCGAAACCCGGCCACCGGCCGCTATGGTCCGTCACGTAAGGTTTAAATTCATGGCCAATTTTCAGACGATCGTAATCGCGATTCCGGCGAAGAACGTACGAACGATGTCGCGATCGCGACCGCGGAAAGAGCCATTAGACCGCGTGGTACACGGGGAAGAGGACACGACACTCCGGTGTGCCAAGCGCAGTGGAATAAGAAAAACCGAGTCAGACGGAGGTGCGACGGGGCCAATGGTCTGACGAGCATCGGAAAAGATTCCTCAAGATTGGGAAAAGCAAGGATCGAGAGGTGTGAAATGAAAAGTCAGGGGAAATGATATTGAGAGTGGAGGAAGCGGGGCGCCAGGCGAATAATAGGGGACGAGAGGCAAAAGAAGCAACGAGGAAAAGCGGCAAAAAGAAGAGCAGCCGTGACAGAAGAAGAAAAAGAAGGAAAAGGCGTAAAAGAAGAAAAATAGGCAGAAGAAGCGGAGGAGGAGCAGGAAAGAATGAGGATGGCGCCGTTGGATTCTCACCGCGAGTGCCACAGTTTCTCTCGAGTTTTCTCTTCTTTTTTCGTCGGCGTCTGGCGCGGCCGCCGGCTGCGGCGCCGATCTCGAGCTGCGGCTGCTCGACGGACCTGCGGAACACGAGATGCGGCCTGCCGGCCACCGAGTGCACCGAGCGCACCGAGTGCAGTTTCCGGTGCAGGGCCTCGGCGCCGTCCTCTTCCAGCCTCTCCTTGATCCTCTCCTCCAGGCTGCCGGCTATTCCTCGGTCTTCTTCCGGGGACACGGCGACTGGTTCCAACCAGAACTCGCCGTGCTCGCCGCGAAGCATGCCCGCCTGAAACACGAAACCCAAGATCGTCTTACTTTCCTCCGCGACTACCTTTGTTCTCCGACTAGGACTAGACGTTGCGGATCTCCCTGCGAATATAGGCACCCGCAGACCAATTTATCAGCTGCTCTATCGCGTTGCGAAGAACATTCTGTGATGTCGTAAACGTTTCGATGCGATGCGATTCGTCGCGAACGCCGAATGCGCGAAATTAACCACTTCGCGGTCGACTGGCGACTTTAAGACGGTAAAGTTGAATTTAAGAGAGCTAAAAATGGTCATATTCGCGTTTCAAAATAGTTCGAATATCGTCAAATTTGTTTATAGCCGGAGTCTCGATTATTCGAGTTGACGTGCAACGAGGCTAGCTCGGATAACTGAAAGCTCGGATAATACGGAAGGACCGATGAATATTCATAAATCGTGCAATGAAATTATGAACAACAGTTTGATGATGCAATATTCGCAGATGCGTTTAAGTTGAATTGCATAATTGTTGCGCGAGTCGCGAAATTCGATTTCGCATGGATAAAATTGCGCTAGATTCTATAAAATGGAAATACCGTAGGCGAGAAAGACTAAAAAATAGTTGTTGACGATCGGTAACTATAAAAACGACCCGCAAGCCTCGAACAATCGTGTTGTCCATTTTTGTGTTCGGTCCAAGCGTCAATTAGGGAGACTTCGCTGTATTTTGGATTCCGAGCTGGAATGGCTCCGATTGCAAAGAGTCAATAGCGCGGAGCTGCTTGCAATAATAATAATATTTATTTCATCAACGGCAGAATGCGTTAGAATAACACGACAATTTAGTCGTACAAGCGACAACAAGTCGCACAAGCGGCATATCGAAGAGTAACGAAAACAAAAAGAAGCGATATAATAAAAAGATCAATGAAAGATGAAATGAGTGACCAAAGATGATCGAATAAAGTGAAAAAAATGGAGAAAATAATAGAGAATAATACAGCACGAGATCATTGAAGCAACAAAGATAGAATTCGAATAAATATAAAATGAACGCGAGCAAGAAAGACGGCGGAGTTCATGTTTAAAACATTTTTCGCAACGAAAATACCTGGTTTCAGCGTCAACGTTTTTGTAAGATTTCAAAAGAGTCTGTGGAAAAACTGACGTCCCTTTAACGCGGAAACGCTTGCTCGACGAGAATTTTCCAAAAGGAACACCGTCGAGACCACCTTGCGGCCAACTCAATTATCGATTTTTATTACGGCGAACGCTTCGGGAATATTTTTCAGGGCGCGGCGCGGGACGGGGGGGAGCGATCGAACGCGGGGCTTGAAAAAATGATTTTAATCTGCCAAAGCAGGAATGGCGTGGGTTAATACGCTTGTCAAACGAGCGGCCGGCCGCGTCGGTTGGCATCGGCGCGATAAAAGAGAAGAGCCGACGGGGAAAAAGGAGATATAGCGCGGAGGAACGGGAGAAAGGGGCGGACGTGAAATGAGAATCGCATCGAAATCGGACGATGGGTGTTCCGCCAATCAATTGCTACTCGACAGGGAACGCTGTGTGCTATCGATGATCGGGAATGATTAATGACGCGGCTATATCTATGAACACGGTAATCTGCGCGAGGATCGAGAGACAGAGGATACATTGTACACGGTTTCTTGTTCCGTAGGTGTTACCATCGGTGTACCGCTCTAAACAATCGCTGGTCGCACGATAGGGCGACGGTTAAACGGCGCAGGGTCCACCGGGTTCACCGGGTTCATCGCGAAACATTTTACACCGCCTCCGCCGGAATATATTCGCGATCGAAATCGCGAGCAGGATCGCCGAGAGAATTATTTGGGCGTGTATAAAAAATGAAAAACAGTAATACATACACCGTGCGCGTGGGGCGGATCGGTAGAAACAAGGTCGGACTATTGTTTGCAAAACGCAAAGCGAATAACGAAAGGACGCAGAGAAAAAAGTATTTCTCTCGTGCCTTTCCCAATTATGAAGCAATGCGCTGTTCATCGCGACGCGAAAATTTGCCAGAGCACTGAAACGCGTATTCTGTTTTACAACGGCTGTAATTAAGCAAGCATCCGCGCGAAAATTTGCAGCAAGTGCCCGGCGCCCGTGCAGAATAATAATAAAAATCGGGTTTCGATATCGTCGCGGCCCGATGCAAAGCAGAATTATGCTTCGATATAATTGAAGCCAGCCGCGGCCGGCTGCCGCGGCAGTTCCAATTGCGGAGGAGCTCTCATGTAGAATAAATTTGCCGAGGAGAAAGCCGCAGGGGAAAGCTCCCCGCGATATTTCTCCGTGGGCATAGACGGTGGAAAGTCGCGGGCGACGTTATCTCGCCGCGAGAGGCCACGGATGAAGAAATTCCCCGTAGTTGGTAGGCTGCCGTGCGCGGATACCAGTTTCAGCGGGAATATAATTCATCCGGTCGCCGATACCGGGAATCCCAGAAACGAATCTCGGTTTCCGTGGGAGAGCCCCGATGAAACCGTGTAAAAATAGTCGCCGGGATAATCGTTTCAAGAAATCCTCCGGAGCGAACCGCAGGAGAATAAGGGGGCGGTGAATGGAGTGTAGAAATAGGAGAACAAGGACGGCCAAGGGCCTGGAACGCGTGGCGAGTGGCGAGAGTCTCGACTAGCGATGGCTCGATGCTGCTCGAGCTGGATCGGTGCCTTCGGGATCATCGGAATCATCTTGGTTACGCTCTGAAACGCGGCAACATTTTCGGAAACTGCACTCTGCGCGGTGCAATTGCCGGGTCGACTCGGAGCAAGGTACAGTAATTTCTCTTTAATTCCACGGAATGAAGAATTATTCGAATAAATAGATAGAATAATTTACGACGAATAATGAATAATCGTCGTTCGAGCGAAACGTTCGACTAAAACGAATACAATCGGGTAATTATCTTAGACGAATCTCTATTCGAAACAATTCGAATAATGCCTAACTCTGTTCCTAGTGGTAGCACAGTAATATTTCTCTAATTCGCGCTCAGATTGCGCACAAAAATGGACGATTTGCGAAGAGGGGATACAATTAATCGAGCCTTGCATCTCGTACTTACAAATTGTTGACGATCGGCAAGTATAAAAACGAGCCGCGAGGCTCAAATATTCGTGTCTCCTCTTCCCAAATCGTCCATTTTTGTGCGCAATCTGAGCGCGAATTAGAGAAATATTACTGTGCTACCACTAGGAACAGAGTTAGGCATTATTCGAATTGTTTCGAATAGAGATTCGTCTAAGATAATTACCCGATTGTATTCGTTTTAGTCGAACGTTTCGCTCGAACGACGATTATTCATTATTCGTCGTAGATTATTCTATCTATTTATTCGAATAATTCTTCATTCCGTGGAAAGATTATTTAGTTATCGATGATCGATCTACCCAAAAGTAACAAACTTCCCGATGCAACATTTGAAAAAGGGACATGGCTGAAATAAATCGATAAACTATCAAAAAAGAGAACACTTCACATTCAGACATTTTTATTCAAATTGATTATTTTCTCTACGAATTTCTGTACGAATGCATTCTTGTTCGAATAAAATCTTGTTAGATTAGAATAGATTTGTATTCGCTTGGATATTTATTTGATAGCGCATCGAATAAACTTTTATTCGTTAATTTACGTCTCTTACCGATCATCCGAATAAAATGTCGCCAACTTTGATTAGGAATAGAGGGAGAACTAGTTAGTCAGAAAATCAAACGTTCCGAGACCTCCTTGGTATCACGCCATCGCTAGTTTCGACTATTTGCCTCGAGGACGACCGTGAAAAATCACGGCGCGGCGCGGCGCGGCGCGGCGCCACGGCGCGCCAGGCTGACAAAGCCGAGCGCGGAGCGGGTCGAGGGGCAGAGGATCGCCGAAGGACCTCAAAGTGAAAAAGGCCTGCTTGAGCGTGATTCAGCGCCGCATGGGGCCTTCTCGTTGGTCTTACGGTCTCCTTTTCACCAAGCAGGTCCCACGGGCTCCTTTCCTCGTCCCGCTACCGGCTCTCTTCCTTTTTGCGCCGCTTCTTTTCGTCTTGAGCGCCCGTAAACTCCGATCGACTATATAAGGAGTGATTTGTTGCCGCGATCGCTTCAACCGTGCCGCGAACACAGTCGTTCGATCGGCTAACGATCCGCGGCATTTTTCTCCCGATCCCGCATCCGCGATCTTTATTTACCGAGATGGTCTTTGATCCCGATGCCGGTTTTACGATCGTCAGAATATCAGAGTCGTCGAGTATATCGGGACTGCTCTCGTTGATTTCTTTTTAATGATAATAATAATAATGTTAATAATAATAATAATAATAATAGTAATAATAGTAATAATATTTATTTGATCAACGGCGGAAAGTCCCTGTGTTACAATAGTATGACAATGCGTCACACAAGTAGCGTATTAAAATGAAGTAAGGAAAGAAGAAAAGAGAGGATGAGAGATAAAAGAAAAGATACAAGACAATAAAATATAGAGTAAGCGATCAAGATATTTAACATCGCGGTCAAAATGACCGTTCTCTTATTTTGCAGTTCTATAAACTTTGGAGACTCTTTCATGGAAAATAATATAAATGATATAATAATATAATAATATAATAATATAATAATATAATAATATAATAATATAATAATATAATAATATAATAATATAAATTACATTATTGGAGTAAGTTTATAATAAAAGTGTTTGAAAGTTTAAGTAACTATTGCTGCTTGATATAAGGAGACATACACATGGGCAGTTTTTCTCAGATTGACTAAAGAACAAATAAATTTTAGTTTTAACTCTTACTACCTATAAGTCTTTGATCATTTTTATACGTAAATGTTCAAATGAACCATAGTGCGTTTGCGTCCAGACCGATTCGGAAGCAGACGATCGTAAGTCAGACTATCAAACCAGTAAAAATGACTGATTTTTTTCTCCTTTACAGTTCCTGACATTACAAAAATATTTCTCGACGAAATTTTCAGGTAGACTTTTTCATTGAAGTATATATTATAATATAAATCGTA